AACGTGAATTGTCTATGCCATGCTCCAATGTCGGATTCAGAAAAAGATGTTAAAATGTCTGAAAGGTCGGACACAGGCGAGAGCGTATCGGGAGACGGACACCAACAAGACCTCCCTCATCCTTGGCCCTATCTCAGAGAATTTTAGAAATGGTCGAAAAATTTAGCTTTCAATTCATATAGTGGCATCTGGCTGTTTTTCAAAGGTTACTTTATACTTTAAGTAGTTTTTTGGAGCACATACTTTTTCACTTTTACTTAAGTAAAGAGGTTAAGTTGAACTTTTACCAGAGTGTTTTTAAACTGCAGTATCTATACTTCTACTTAAGTAACAAATGTGTGAACTTTTGACACCACTGGTGAAGTTTTATCTGATCGATAACAAAACTGGTGAACAGAGGAATTAACTGAAGGCGGACGTCTCCAATGAAATGAGCTCCTTGGTGAAAGTCTGAACTCTGCTTCTCCAGTTGAGTCTAGAATGGCCTAATGATTGTGTCATCTATGAGTTCTAGTTCTATAGCTAGCAAAACATGTTTCTCTTCATAGAAGCATTCAGGCCATCATGGAGGATCCTGGAAAGGTTTCATCGGCTTGTTTCTGATCGGGTCACATTTCCTGAATGTTCTGAAATCACAGAGCCGATGATGATGATGATGATGATGATGATGATGGTGGTGTTTTCATTTATCTTCAATGTTGTGTTCAGACATCCTCCTAGAGTGGGATCAGTGTGTATAGCTGATCTAGGAATAAATATCTTTCTGTTCATATTTAGCTCAGTTTCAAACCCAAACAATCAGAGATGTTTGTTTTGGTTCCGATCCTCCATATTACAGCTTATATCCCAGATATTAGACACATCCATAACCAGGATCGACCTGTTTACACCTGGCCTGAAACCGGAGCGACTGCACCGGTTCGGTTCGTTCCGGTGGGCCCGGAACCACCGGAACGAACCGAACCGGAACCACCGCAGGAAGCGACCGGTTTCAGCCTAGGAACCTCCTGGATCTCACCTGAACGAAAACCCGAACCGAACCGACCAGAAAGCCGGTGAGGAAGACTCACTTTGCTCTTCACCTCCACGGTGCTGTCGGTGTGTCTGATGGGGGTCCGCTGCTGCTGCTGCTGCTGCTGCTGCTGCTGCTGCTGCTGCTGCTGCTGTCTGGACATCCTGCCGCTGCGGATAAAAACATCCACTAGATCTGGATCTGGATCTGGTTCTGGTTCCGGTTCTGGTTCTGGTTCGGTGTCAGTCTGCGGGAACCCAGCAGTCCCAGCCTACGGAGCAGCCGCTGCTTTCCGTCCTGTCAGCGCGCGCCACTGTTGTTCCCTCACCGCTCGCTCTCGCTCACACCCGCGTGCACGCGCATGCAAAGAGGCGGAGAGCAGCCTGCTGACAGGTGGAGCCCCCCTCCCTCCACCAGGCCAGACAGAAGGACGCAGCGGGGGGAGGGGGGGCTGCATTACTGCACACATGGCGGTGCGGCTAATCTTAGCCCGCCCCCCCTCTCTAGCATCACCTGCACAGTTGCTCCTCTCACTGTGACGTTTGATGACAGGTATGAGAAGCATGTGGTGTTGCTGGACAGACCTGAAACACCTGAGCGCCCACCTGACGTCACAGGAGGAAGAGTCAGGGCCCCTCCCAGCAACAGGAAGAATTACTGATAAACACCTTTTCACTGCAGACTGACTTTCAGTCACTGAAATGTTGTTTTTCCTTCATTTAAAAGCTAAATATTCAAACTGTTGCCGGTTCAGAGGGCAATAGATTTTCAAAAGCAGATATTTAAAATCTATTGTAGGTTGTGGTTTATTACAAAGTCATAATTTTGAAGCTCTAAATAGGGGCGGATATAGGAAATGTGGGGCCCTAGGCAAAGACAGACAGGGGCCCTCTGAACTGAGAAGACAACACATAGAAGAGACCCATTCTACAGATAGAGAAATGTTAACAGAATAGACATCCATTATCTGTTCTAGGTT